AGGAGACCGGCTGTAAAAGCTTGGCCTTATAAGCCAAGCTCACCCAGACGGTGACGTGTTGGATATGTGAGGATCCACAGGCAAGCAGGAGCTTACTGGGCAGGTAGGGCCAACGTTTCAGAGGATCTCGTAACTTCTGACTTACCAGGGCGACACATGAATAAATGGCGGAAATAGGAAAACGAATCTGGCAATGGGCACGGAATTGGGTAGGTACACAAATAGACGGTTTGATAATGCCAGCAGTGACGTCATTACCATCTCTACCCAACACACCCAGGTGTTGTATGCAAATATAATGCCTGCAGCGACATTATATTTTGCCGTTATATTCGTTTATAACGCCTGGGCATTGCATTCAGTAAACTGGTAGCAACTTCGGTGATGCCCCAAAATAATAATTAAAAAAAAAAAAAAAAATCATAAAATTCTTTAACCAAAAAAAAAAAGTCATGTAGAATTGCAACCCAAACAACTTTTGGCTGAGGGTAACTTCCTTATTAAATCAGGGTCTGATTTTCTTTTATATTGAGAGTCAATGAGAGAAGAATATAATATATGTATATTGAATTGTTGTATTAAGAAAGTATAAAAAGAATGTGAGGAATGAGCCCTAGCTGTGGGGATTTAGGCCGCGACCTCCAACAGCCCAAGGGCCTCCCCCCAGACTGCCTCCTGCCCACCCTAAGTAAAGGTGGGCCTGCATTTGGAAACGAGGCCTATTTTTGCCATTTCTGCATTGTGGGGCGCCAGACAGTTACCACGCGGCAGTTGGTTACAGGGCCACGCCCTTGTGAGCACAGCATGCAGAGCCTTTGGGCTCACTCCAGCATGGAGGTGGCCAGAGGCTCTCGGCCAATGAGATCGCAGGGAGCGACGTGGCTGGGCCTCCGTAGGCCAATGAGAATGCAGCATGCGACAGCAGCCACGTCGCACATTTGGGCAGCCTCAATGCTGCGGTCCCAGTCAACTGTCTGCATGGGCCTGGGCGCAGACACCTTGGCCCAACATGAAGCTACTGGGCACACGCTGGCCAGACCCAGGCGGCCAGAAGCTGGGCTGCACATTCCATAAAGGAAAGTGCCTGGCCCAGCAGAGGCACAATATGGCCCTGCACTGCTGGGCAGCCACGCTGCTGAGCTGTAAGCAGACCGTCTGCCCGAGCACAAGCCAGAGGCGCACGCGGGCGCTGTGAGGTGAGAGGGGCGCTGTAATGACAGCGGGCAAGAGCGGCCATAGCCGGGCCTGCTCGCGGGGATGCTGGTGGGCAATGGAGGTCCTCGGGTTGAGGGCGCACATGTGGGAGAGGAGGTGATGACGCAGAGAGGGATACGAGGCTCGTACCTGGTGAATGCTGGCAGTCTGAATTGGCGACGTCGTCACGCACATTGGTCTTCAGCTTAAAGTGCTTCTGTTGCATATACGTAGAGTAGGGTAGTATAGTAGCTGAGCAGGATATGCTGGGCGCTGTGCGCCAATCAAGTAGAGCGACATTGAATACTATGTTGGTGTGGCGAGAGAGCGTCGCGACATTGACATCTGAGTTCATTGTATTGCTCTTATTTGGCTGGTATCTCGGTGCATTGTGCTTTCTGCTTGGTACATGACTATCTGGTCTACAGTGTGATATTGCAATTTGGTTTTCTGCCTTCGCTCTCACTCATTTTCCTTGCAAGAAAGTCAATGATAATTTCTCGTTTTCAATAGAAAAATTAGAGTCTCTTATATTTGACTAATGGAAATCATAAAATTATCTAGTTTTAGTTTTAGATTTTTGTTATATTTCTAGATTCTACTGATTCTTTTTTAATCATTTTGGATTTTAAGTTTTTATGGCCATGCTAACTTTCTCTGTATCGTTCCAATTTTAACGGACGTCCCAAAGGACATTCTGAATCATTTTCTATTATTGATATGTTTTATATTCTATATTTTTGAATGAACTCCAATGAAGTGAATTTTAGATTTCTATTAAAATAAATACAAGATTAAGAAAATCATTTCCTCACTAATCTATCAATTTCATTGGTATACAGGGTTGCATAGCTGCCGACCGCCAACCCCGACCGCCGACCATTTTGCAGCCGACCAGTAGGGCCGACCGGTCGGCGGTCTGCCGACTAGTCAGAAATTAGTCATTAACTGATTTTTTTTCAAAGCTGAGTTGGGGGCTGTACTGTGCTCGCTGAGTACAGCCCAAATCCACTGAGAAACTTTTGGGGATGGGGGGGGTGTATAGGGGGGGGTATAATAGGGGGGGGTATAGGGGGCTATAGGGTTATTGGGGGTTCTGGACCCTCCCAAAAAAAAAAAAAAAAAAATGTGGGGTGCCGACAACCCCCGACCGTTAGGTGCCGACCAGCCAACCATCGGGGTATGCAATACTGTTGGTATACGAAAATCAAACCGAAGCACACCCCTTGGAAACTATGAAGTTAAAAACCCTTTGAACCCCCACTAACCCCCATGCATACCCCTCTTCTCCCCCCCCCCACCCCACCTGTTACATGCCCAGTTGGGCGATGTACATAATAACCGAGGATCCGCAATGTGATAAAAAGGACTGAATGGACAATGCAGTGCAAGTGGAATCTCAACAAGCAATGTGCATTCCGATACATACAAAATGGTGCTTTATAACGCAGGGACGACTTTAGATACAAGTCCTGACCTGACCGGGACTGACCCCTTTCACGTAGTACAAGATTAGCGAAGCAGAATGCTAGAATACTAAGGACTAGCCCACTCAATGTTTCCACGCAGACCAAACATACATCATGCTCATCACAAGGTGTGATGGGGCCTGGCGCTATACGCAGGAAGGAGGCGCCAGGTCCAGACATACACAGACGAAGAGGAGGGGATCAGATGAAGAAGAGGAAGGGGGAGATGGGAAAGTCGTCAACACCAAGTCTCGTTACAAGTCCCAACGTCGAGTCTGGATCCAATGTCACCAAGCTCTCTCTCTCTCCCTCGTAGTCTGCTGATGCAGTGAAGTCAGATAGCGAGAGGGGGAGAAGAAGATGGTGGACTGAGAAGAGGAAGAAGAAGAACTCTCTCTCTCATATGCCAGGTACTAACCTGTGAAGATGGCGCTGTGCTGCAGGTACCTCGAAGACGAAGCTGGAGCAATGGCGCTGCAGGTAAGTATCCCTGGCCTCCGCCCAATCTCTCTCTCTCTGTAGTACTACTCTAGCTATGGCGCCCAGCGCTGAAGACTACAACAAACGCTACTAGCGCCCAGCGCTGAAGACTACTGCTAACGCTACCACTACTCCTGCAGCGCTCCTCCAGAGTGCTGCTGCCGAATCCTGAAGACTACTGACTGCCTCCTGCCTTCCCGTGAAGTGTATGGGAAGTCCCTATGTACTACCTCGGCCTACCTCCTGACTGCCTCCGACTGCCTGCAGTTGCAGGGCGGGCAGTCCAGGAGGCTGCTCTTGCCAATGCCAAACTGAGCCAGGGTCTGGCGCTGCAGCTGTCGTGGGAACAGGCCAAAAATAGCCTGTTCCTAAAACCCTGGTTTGGTGCCTGAGTTTCAGGGCAGGTCRGTCTGATGAAAGACCGAAAATGGCCCTTCGTTTCAGGCTAAAAAGGCTACTGTCATTTTTAGTCTGAAACGACACAGGGTCTGTAGGCCCCCGTTTTCCAGGCTTTCGAGCTGAACAGACACGGGGCCTGTAGGCCCTGGTTTTCAGGCTTTCAGCCTGAGGGACGCAGGGCCTGGAAAATGGCCCTCGTGTGCAGGTGCAGCATGTAACACCACCCCACCCCAACGAGGCATTCTACACATGCCTCGTTCAAATATAGTGCCCAGGCAAGTGTCATATTCGATGGGACGTCATACTCAAATTTAAGTGAGTGAAAAAAAAAAATCTGACTTTTTTCAGAGTAACTTCGATATAATGCCTGCGATATTATTTTCGGGTGAACATGGTAGGTGGGAAAATGTGACACACCTCGCCATAAGTCGCTGCAACTCTGTAATTCTTGAAGTGAATCTGTAGTTTAGTAGTTTAGTACTTACGAAGTACTGGGTTTCTTTGTTGGTATTCGCATAGCCTGATCATCAGGGATAGTAGGGCTATGGACGAGGCTTTGCCTGTGTCTGCGTTTGTCAACCTTGTTTTGCTGCGAGAAGTGATGTTCAGCAACGTTGAAAATTCAAGTGTTAACATCATCGTTTCCTGTCTGCCAGTGGCCTGGAATCCGGCTGGGCATAGCCACACTTACTTTCAGGGATCTATCTAGCCACGATAAGCTCTGAATGGAGAAGTCTGGGAAGACGTCGGAATGTGAGGGTTGAAAGAAAACAAAATCCCGCAAAACAAAAAGGAATTAAGTGAAAGAAAAGGAAATTGGGCCCGGGGATATAGACTGATTCACCAACAAACCCGACATCTCGTCCTCTCTTCCACCCCCGCTCCTCCTCCCCCTGACCTTTTCCGCATCACACGCACAGAATGGAAGCACACCCCACAGTGCACCGCACCGCACATGGAAATGCATGGGAAAATACCAACGAGCCTACCTCAGTTGGTACACCCATGAACTGTTAAAAATACAAAATACAGACCCGAGTTCGAATCCTCCTGGACCTTGATGCGTGGAATTTAATCATTCTGAATAACCTCAGGGCTGGTCAGATCGATGAAGGTATCCCAAGGCCATTCCCCTTTTCAAGGAAAAACAGGAAGAGGGAAATGCATGGGAAAACATCGGAATGAAAGGGGATGCGTCGGAATGTATGCAAATAGATCCGCATGCAACGAAATGCACGGTGGCAAAGCACTTAGCCACCAGTACCTTTCCCATATGTCGGCCGCGGGCACTGCGTGCCGGCCCGAAAATCAAGACTGGCTGCCGATTCCATTTATCGGTGGCTGCCCTTCCGTTTCAGGCCAGCGCGTTACCCGGCGCACCTCTGAAAAAATAGCTGGGAAAAGTACTGGTGGTTTAAATCAAGATAATGGTAAGTGGACAGGGGAGAGAATACAAACCATCTGCAAAGACTGCAGAGGCACCCTCTTGATAGAACCAGGCCACCTCTTTCTTCCTAAGCAAGAAGACTCCTCTCAGCACCAGGCACTTAACCTGCACAGATCAATCGGAGAAAATGCAGTTCCATGAACTTCGATCCCCATTATCACCCTGTCATCTTCGGAAAATTATTTATTGTTTTTCTTTCTCTTTGCTAACAAAGACATTAGGGTTAACTTACCACTCCATTTTATTGTCGGAATTGTCACTCTCACTTACCATGCAGCAACAGGTTTTGCACATTTGCATACAGAAACTAAGTACAATAATGGTCCACTCACCAAGGGGACTAGCTCAGTTGGTACACCCATGAACTGTTGAAATACAGACTCGAGTTCAAATCCAGATACAATCAGATGGACAGAATCAAATCATTCTGAATTGCCTGGGGCTGGTCAGTTCAATGATGATATCTCAAGGCCGTCACCCTTTTAAAAAGAAAAAAGAAAAAAGAAAAAAGGAAAAACAATAATGGTCCACTCAGCCTCTTTTCCCTTGAACAGATGTGTTTGCCTTAAAACAGCTCAGCTTTGCTTTTCTTCCAGCCCAGCGTCACGCGCTTTCTGAGCAATTTTTGTACAGACCCAACCGACCCTTGGACGGAGACACTGAGTTTTCTGTGCTCTCCCGCTCTATCCTCAATAAATTATTTCCATCTGTGCTGCAGAGCGAAAGCAAGTATGGCATCTAACCTGGTGTGCTACAGGTGAGGGAAGGATGGATGTTATGCGTAGTATTGTGAACGCAAGCGCGAACGAGGTTGCATGGGTGCTGGCAGCCAAGGAGGGAACAGGATGAAGGATATTCAAAGATGTGACTGTGGTTTGATAAGCACATGGAGAAAGAACAGGAAGGAGAAGGCAGGCAGAAGGCAGAAGAAGAAAACCAATATAGAGAAGCAGGTATCCATAGAATGGCAGAAGAATCCAAAACCAAGCTGATATAGACAGTGGCTAGGCAAATGTTGACACTGCAAGAAGATATTAAGAAAGAGATTGCACAAGTTGTAGTGCAGACAGGGTCAGCAGGCGGAAAACACTCCTCGAAAAGCATGGTGCGATGGGAGGTCATACAGCTGGTGATGTCAAAATCTTCGGAGGACAGTGACTTCAAGTGCAGTATTAAGGAAATGCCATCAGAGGAAGCGGCGTAGAGAGGTTTTCGTCACTCCGGAGAAGAAGTTGGCGAAGAAGCATCTGAGCCCCTTCAGATCACCAGCTGGAGTGAAGGAATGGGTAACAACGCCAGCGTGGATGACCACGAGCATCCGAGACGAAGGTGAAGGTCGCCAAGCCTGAGGACGGAGGAAGTGGGGTCATGCCAACCATGCCCAGAACAGGACAATCGAACCAGGCAGATATTAGTGAGAGCATCATACAGTTTATAATGGATCATAAAGCAACCTGCACGGAGCGTCAGGAATGAAAGTTAAGGTGCTTTTGAGTGGAGGAAGGGGTGGAATAGTCAACAGGAAGGACCCTCGGCTCCAATAGCCGCAAGGACCCGGCGAGCCTTTCAAGGGTGACACCACTCTACTGGAGCAAGTAAGATACTGACAGACAAACTGGTCGATATTGAAGACCTGGAAGATTGATGATGTGGTCCCCCTCCAAGGACCTGCAGATCTGGCTTAGTGTATGGACAGTTGTAACCGAAGTTAGGTCAGCGGCTAGATTAAGGCACCTTGTGCATCTCCTACTACTGCCTCTAGCAGCTAATGCTGAACGCATGACGGTTGTTCATCCCTGGGCAACCCATTTTGCTCATCATGGGCTACACAGGATGTTTCCGTCAACCTTGGGAAGCCGTGGGTGTATGTGTTGCTTTCTTCTTTTTTAGAAAGGCGCGTATAGTTTAGGCGAATTGGAGCTGGAGAGAAGATGAACGGAGTGTGTCCTTAATGCAGACGCTAATGTGAAAGGAAAATCCCCGCTACTTTACTCCTGGTTTGGACTTTCACACGGTTGTCATACGCAGCCGTATCGCTCATCTACGCAGAAACTGGCGATCTGTTGCAGCGGGATGGAGCTTTTATCCAGCAGCGGTCGTCGATTCTTCAGTAGGAACAAAACTGGGAGCAAAGAAGTGCCGGAAGGGAAAAAGAGAGTGTGGAATACGCCATCCGGGGTTGGCATACGGTTCCCAGACTGCGTCATTGTTTTCTCAGATAGTGCAGGTCCTGGACAGCACTTCACGAGCCTCCTAGGGTTTCTCAGAGAGCACAGGACAGCAATTCACGAGCCTCCTAGGTTTTCTCCTAGGTTTTCTCCACCACTTCACGAGCCCACTGATTGGGTCAATGAGTGGTCAGTGCTCCACTGGAATTTTGTCCAGGCTACAGCGTATATCAGCGGCAGTTTGCATAGCTTCAGAGAAGGTATGGAGCTTCTGAGCTCAGGGGCAGAACTGATGGTAGTTAAGCTTCACCCTTCACCAGATGGTTACCAAACGGCACATCTAAATGTCCAACCCGTGCTACCATAGGCAGTGTCTAATGGGCTACAGTCTTCCCCCGAACAAAACGCACGTATGTACTATTCAACTTTCCCTGGAAAAGTCCATTTCTCAAAGTCGGCCCCAGAAATCCAAATAGTACGCACATTGAAATAGTACGTACGTATGTTCTATTCAAATAGAACACACGGGTGTCCTCCCCCTCTCTCTCTCTCTCTCTCTCTCTCTCTCTCTCTCTCTCTCTCTCTCTCTCTCTCTCTCTCTCTCTCTCNTCTCTCTCTCTCTCTCTCTCTCTCTCTCTCTCTCTCTCTCTCTCACACACACACACACACACACACACACACACACACACACACAGACACACACAGACACACACACTGTTCTACCGCGTTTGACGCGGCGACGCAGCCATTCGGGTAGCATGCTTTACGTTCTAGACAGTAAGCTTGGCAAAAAAAGGTCTTATGAAGTGGGGGATGGGCAGCCTTCTGGATGGTAGCGTCCAAAGCCAACACTCTCCCACACACCACACGCAACACACTCACATGCGCACACACACCCGTGTTGGCTGAAGACCTTACTGATACGGACTGGGAGGATCCAGCTCACTATCTCAGTTGGATGGCACCAAGAGTGCCACAGGCAGCCGTGGGGATTGAACCCACAACCTCCTGAATGCCAATTGCGTGCCTAACCAATTGCGCTAGGACGCTGGATGGATGGTGCCCAGATTCTTCTATCGCAGGAGGGGAAAAAAAAAATAAAAAAAAATGAAAAACGAATAGCAAGCTACTGAGGGCTGTACCACCCCACACACGGACAGGAAAAAGGGCATTTCAAGCTCTGAACTACTAGCAGTGTATCTAGTATCTACTCATGTTCTACCAGAAGATGCATGCTCGTTTTGCACATTTGGTCAGTAGTGGAGCAAGGCTGCCACAGCTCTCGTGGCAAAGGTAAGTATGCTTTTTCTTCTTCTTTTTTCCGAAAGTCAATACGTACGTTTTTCTTTTCTTTTCTTTTTTTTTAGTAAGCCCTGCCAACGAGGCAGGGCAGTCCGTTCTAGATTTCGTTACTTGGGCGTAGTAAACAGCAGAATGCTTCTATACTGTATTTCTGGGAAGATGCAGTAGAAGAGAAAAAAAACAAAAGTGGAAACAACCCAGACCCAAATCGCCCGCCCCCAGTTTGCAACGGGAAAAAACTCTATCCCTCAAAAGGGAATCAATTGACAGCACCCTATACTAAATTGCAACGACCTTGACAAGCTAACCTGCCCTATGACCGGTCTTAGGGACGACTGCGACTGGACCCTATTTTCTGCTGTCGGAGACCCCAAACGAACCTGTCCTAGCGAAGTTGTGCTGCACGACCTTACCAAAAATAGAAAGAAATGAAACGACGAAAATGAAACCCACACAAGCCAGCCTCCTGGCTGCGAACACACACACACAGAACTGCCCTATTGCTCCCGCCTGCTCACTCCCTCCCAATTGCTCCCGCCTGGCTTCTTGACGGGCTGTTGTGTTTTTTTCTTTTTTTTTTCCTTTTTTTTTTTTTTCTTTTTTTTTTAATAAACAGGTCCTTATGGTCCTGGCTCCATATCCATTCTGGGGAGAGTCAGTCCGGTTCCTTATCACCGGCAAGTCAAAATTGGAATATTTTCTCGATTTATGTGTGTCATCCTTGATCAGAGGCCATGCTAATCCCGAAGGACAAGTATGAATACAGGGTACTAATTTTTTTGAGGCCCCATTTTCCAAAAGTTGGTACCCTGTATCCGTAGCATAACGCACGTGTGTTGTATTCGAATAGAACGCACCCCGTGCGTTCCCGTGCATTCTATTCGTAATTAACGAATGTGCGTTTTGTTCGGGGGTAGACTGTAGGCCAAGGTCTAACCGAATGTATGGAGGCCATGAAGTGGGAGAGGCAGGATTCAAACCTATGTTTACAGTCTGTAGCTTTTAACCACTCGGCCATGTAAACAGTAAACAAACATAATATTTTTTGTCATAAATTTGTGTTGTTTATGTTCAACTGTTATTACCCAGTGGTGTACTCTGCTAGTTATATCCCCCAATCAACTATTCCTTTCTAGAGTCGACGCCCCCCCTGCGGCTGGGACTACCATGCCCCAATGGTCAGCCTGCATCGCAGTAGATGAAGCCCAATCTGCTCTTGCTCCTCCCAAGGCTAAATTCATCCGGTACCACCTCCAATCCACAATAATGCCCTTGGAGGAATATGCCCCCCAACCCACCTGTTCCGCTCCCCTAAACACTCCTTGTCCAGAGCTGAGTGGGGGTGTAGAATCGGTTTTATCAATGGGATAAACTGCCATCATTGTCAGGGGTTTGAAACATACAATCTAGTAGCTGTGCTACGATTGCAGGGCTGGTGTGAGAAAATCCAACCACTTTTCTCAAGGGTTGGGCAACTTTGGCAAAGTGGTGAGCCCTTACAAATTAGTCAAATGCATACTGGGCAGACTGTCGAGAGTAAACCTCCTCATGAGTCAGTGAAAGTCAGATGAAGCAGTCGGTCAGAGCCACCTTTTCTTTGTAGAGTTGTGTTTAGCATACATAAAACACACCTAGCATACATGTGGCAGCCTTGTGCATCCACGAGTCCCTATAAGGAAGGAAAGGAGCAAATGGTTCAAGAGGAAAAAAAGAGGGAAAAAAGAACATTTCGTCATTTTTTCGTTAGTCCCCTCACCCCTTCATTGCGAGAGGGAAATAATGCAAAACGATCAGTAATAAATTACTAATAATGCAATTACACGGAACGAAATTGTTCACTTCTAATACTCAAATGCAACGCTCTTGCTGACCATCAGTTGAAGATACTCCTTCATTTGTGAAGAATTTGATTACAACGCCTGGGTCTATTTTGATGCATCGGCTGGGTTCTATTTAAATACAACGCCTAGCTGTTATATTCAAAGGGCATCCTGCTGGGTAATGATTGACCGAATACTCAGATTGGAACAGAAGCAATGACATCATTTCAATGCTTGAAGCAACTGTTTCTATTTTTCTTAAAGAGGAAAAGCAGAGGGAGAGTGGTGAGCAGTACGAAGGAGCAAAGCACCAATACCTTATCTGGGTGCGTTTCAGCATATGCAAGTGCGAGAGTGCTTCCCCATGAGCCGCCAAAAACCTGTGATTGACCGGGGCACACCACCATCAATGTGAAATTGGGTCCTCAAGCTGATGTATTCCCAAGCTAGAGAGAACAACTGAAAAAATTGACAGCTTACAACACTGAAATCCAACGCGAAGAAAAACCAGGTGGGAAAATGGAACCAGCCGAAGAAGCTGTTGACGGACAAACTGGACTGATTCACGACCGAGAAAAGAAGCGATTCTTGAGGGATAGGCTACTGTAGGAGGGGAGGGAGGGKGGGGGGGGAAGGGGGGCAAAATAGCCATCCTAGCCGACTACGAAATCAGACGGAGGAGCTTCAACAAGTTTCCAGATAGTGAACCAATCAGGGAACAGCAATCCTCAGCCATCACAGATAAATGATGCTACCTTGCTAGGGGCTGGAACTCGGAAGACTGCAGTTCATCCAAGAAGACTCTAGAATTGTACAGTAAATCAGCCAGCCTCATGGACCTTGAGCTGAGTGGAATCCCTTTTTTCCCCCCTTCATTGGTCCATTCTTAATTGCGGGGAGCAGCGCGTACTGGAAACTTACTTAGTCCAGAGTCCCCTTGATATCGAGATAAGCAAAGTAGCTGATCGTAGCAGGTTAGCATTGATTACCCTATCACTGGGGAAGGGGATTGACTGCCTGCCATCTGCACAGCAGCTGATTGCCCATAAATCTATCCCCAAGCCCACCATTCTCAAGAATAACTGATTGCCTACCACATCTTCCAAGTCTAACCCCATCACCCGGACACCATACCAACAACCCCCCCTTACTCCAGCAAGACTTACATCTATGGAGCCACCACCTCCTTAGCTGCTATGCCATAAAACTGCCTCCCTTTCCTTCCTACCCACTTCTGTGGTCTTATCCTTCAGCAGTAAACCACAGCAGCTTCCATGAATTCCAGAGGCCAGATAACCTTTGTGCCTTGTCACCTGCAGTAAATGATTGTTGTTTATTCACATAATGACCACCCTTCCTTCATCACGTCTTCGCTTCCCCATCACGAGCAGAGTTGAAAATACCCTCCCTGTTACGGACTACACCAGGGCTCGATCCCTGGTCCGCGGGATGCTACCCGCAGATCACTGCACACATTTTCTTTTCTTTGTTTTCTTATTTTTATTTTTCTCTTTGTTTTATTTTTCTGATTTTGGACACTTGGCGCCATCCGGCATTCTGGCGCCCATTTTCAAACTTTCGATTTTCAGTTCAGCCCTGGGCAAATTGTACTTCTGCCCATCGGACTGAACTTGCATCCGATACTTAAGATCGGACCCGAGCCCAGTACTGGCATTCAGTTTGCGGCCTCAGTGCTTGTGCTTCGGTGTGACTGGCCTCGACATTGTGTTCGGAAATCCAAGACTTCGACTTTGCGACTTTGCCACTTCGTGTCTGCGTCCCTCGAGTCGTGTCGAGTCTGCGTCGAGTTGAGTGAGTGTGTGTGTGTGCTCTGACTCTCTCCCTCTCTCTCCCAGCCTCGTTGCCTTGCCTCTGCCTCAGCCTCGTCACACTCCCTCTGCAGTGTCTGCACTGATCTCCACCACCACCATCTCCTTAGCTGCTATGCCATAAAACTGCCTCCCTTTCCTTCCTACCCACTTCTGTGGCCTTATCCTTCAGCAGTAAACCACAGCAGCTTCCATGAATTCCAGAGGCCAGATAATCTTTGTGCCTTGTCACCTGCAGTAAATGATTGTCGTTTATTCACATAATGACCACCCTTCCTTCATCACGTCTTCGCTTCCCCATCACGAGCAGAGTTGAAAATACCCTCCCTCTGCAGTGTCTACACTGATCTCCACCACCCTTCACCTCCCCCCAGTACTCCCAGCATTAACCACACTGCATATGAATATCTTGTTTGTTGCTTGGATATGCAGCATACTCGAATAATCTCACCAATCACTGGTTGTCGTGGCACCTGATTTTGTTGCGACATAGGAAGCGATCTCATGGCAAGATTACTATCAAATTATCACTCTTCCATCTCAGCCTTACGGCTCATTCCATAGTCCAGCAATGCTATAAACTGGCCCCAAGGGCCATCATACTCGAAAACCTCAAAATAACCACCCTGTGTCCCCAAACCTTTTTTTTTTATAAATAAAAACAGGTCCTTATGGCCATAGGTTTGGGAAGATAAGGACCTATCTCCGCTAACCTTTTACTTTATTTTTTATTTTTTTCAATGAAAAGTTGAAAACCAGCCTCCTTGCTATGGCCTACAACTTTACAACTTAAAGCTCCTGACCTTTACTCGCGCAAGATGTGACTGCTGTGCTACAGATTTGCCCCCATGGCCACCATCCTCACACCCGACACACTATCCAGCCTTCCACCCCAGATCCAGATAGTCCACAGTACCGCTTTTCTTTGCAGATGAAGGCAATTCGCCTTGAACAAGCAGGCCATAAAAGGCTGGGCAGTGTAGAAGGAGGATTGATTGCCCTGTGTGTGGGTCTTCTGGGATTATGCTTGACATGGTTTTGGCCCTTTTTTTTTTTTCTTTTTTTTCTTTTCACATCGGGACAAGGCACCAATCTATTCGTGGGGAGCAGCACGTGCTGGGAACCAGGCCCAGCGTCCCATGTGGAAATTTACATAGAATTTTGAAAGCTTGAGATACCGGGGCCATTACCCGGCTTTGGCTAAGAAAAATTTGAGCTACTTAGAAAATTACTACGACAAACTTCAGAAAAGAGGTCTGCCCACAACAAAACACGCCACAACAGAGGTCCTACGAATGCTCAAAACCCTGTGGATCCCTAGCAACCCGTCTAAAGCTCTCCAACACTGTCTTACTCCCTGCTGAGCTCTTCCAGGTCTCACACCCCCACCCTGCTGGGTTACAGGGCAACACGACTCTGCCCAGCACCGACCAGCGTCGTCCCAGCAGCAACCCTNCTGAGCTCTTCCAGGTCTCACACCCCCACCCTGCTGGGTTACAGGGCAACACGACTCTGCCCAGCACCGACCAGCGTCGTCCCAGCAGCAACCCTTGGTTGTCCCTTGGAATGCCCACCCCAAAGCATCCCCAGATCTCTCTACCAGGCCTCACACTCCTGCATCAGCAGGTTACAGGGCAACACCCCAGCACCGGCCAGCGTCGTTCTGGCATCGAACAGCCGCAGATCACTTGAGAATACCAGCAATGGAGCCGTCTAAGATGAGTTGCTAGGAGTCCCCAGAATCCTAAATCATTCTTAAGACCCCCATGACAACCATGAACAACCAACAAAACCTTGGATCATAGGAACATTCAGACCGAAAAAACCACCTGCCTTAGTGCTTTCAGCAGCCCAACCTTATCTGCCTCCCCCCGATGTCCCGATACTCAATCTCTACCAGGCCTCACACCCCCAACTTTGGCCCCTACTTGAGATCCATTTCGAAACGAAAACTGAATAGCGAGGGCAAGATGGTCGAAGAAAAGAAGTTGACAGCTTAGTGACAAACTACACATTTTGAAGTGAGTTGGAGAGTTCGGTGAGTACCTGTTGAAAACTAGCCGGCAAGACAACACTTAAACACGCTTCATTTAGCGAAATAGCACAATGTGTGAGGCTTCGCTCTCATGGAGGACAGAATTTGCAAGGGAAAAAGAACTGGAGCAACCTTGTGGCTACTTCAGTGTCGGCTTTCTGCCTTGTCCACACACGCACGGATCCTTCTGAGTCGATTATTTCTTCTCAGTTTTATTCAGAATTTCAAGTGCCTTGTGTGAGCATTCGCTGAGAAACAAATCAGGAAAAAGATAAACTTAGGGATGAAAGAAATTTGAGCACCTGCCATTTGTCAACTTTGAGGTGTTCCCGCAATTTCTCTATGTCTGAAACCAGGTCCCAGGTTGTGTTCTCCTCAATGCTTGCATGCGGAATGCTTTTTCCAGATCCACGCTGAAACCAGACAACAAACAATCCAAGGATCATCATCACCAACTCAGCATCATCATCATCATCATCACCACCACCACTACTATTACCACCATCATCATCATTATCATCATCAACACAATCATACACCACCACCGTCGTCATCACCACCACCTTCATCGTTAGGCTGCATGAAAATAGGGCACTTACGTATGAGGTGCAGATTCCATGGGTGAGGGTTTCAGCAAAACCAAATAATGCCCTGATTAAACAGGCCTGCACAAGGCCCTGCCAAAGTAATAGCTATTCAGACTATGCTGCAATTGCTACACACTAATCCATCTTTTTTGGAATAGCTATTCAGTTTATATGCCTGGGCAGCAGGAGGTTGTCCCCGCGGCATGGCTGCTCCCAAGTCCAGATTTGGAAGCAAACCGATACTAGCCCAGGTGGGTCACAGAAATCCGATGTGTCAATAAAGGAGGAAATGGTAGAGGGATACTTAATCTCATGCCTTCACACTTTGCTTTATTAATCCCTCTATCCTTTGCCTTATTACTTCTCCTGCCCATGGTTGCATACCCGCTGACTACCAATGCCAACCGCCGACCATTTTCCAGGTTACCAGTAGGGCCGGCAGTCTGCCGACCAGTCTAGAGGGCCATCTGCTGAT